ACTTTATATCACCATTATTGTGATCTATCACGTCACTGATATTTAACGGTGCCTAGCTATGACTTGCAATCCTCTATCACGGCTTGCTGTGTAATTGTTGGAGGTAGGGAAACACTGGTACACTCTACCAATGAATAAAGACAGAATAAAGACTGTTTATAGCAGTCAATACTCTTTGTAGAGAACATTTGCGACAATACCAAACACTAAATAATACAATAATATTACAGATGTTACATAAAATTGAGCATTAGGACACATAGATGGTTTGTGAAAGGCAATGCGTCATTGAACTTCAATGTTAATAAAACAAAACGTCGTCCGACGTAATATTACATCTTTTTTTGTTGCTGTGTCTCCTGACATTTTGCTACGTACAAACTGTACACGAGTGAGTTTGTCACAACAAAACATGACGATATTCTATAATAGAGGTCCAAATATGTTCAACTTACTAGGAGTAAGCTCAGCATTACAGATGTATACTGTGTATCTTTGCGCCAACTATCGTCATGGACGGCGTTTCATTCTAACCGTGTTCACCGTTGTAATTTCAACAGTACTTTTTACCAAGGTAGAATTATTTTTTTCATGTTTATTTTGTTTTAGTGTGAATGGGTGGAATGTAAAATAATAATAATATCATTTTACCGATTGTAGTAAAGGTCATCACTAATGAAATAATATTATCTCACTGGTTTCAAGTATTGGCCAATGGGATAATCTTACATTGCTCATACCTGATATGAACGTCATGTTATCTTGTCTCACTGTTGAGTTGGTGGTCTCGTTGCGGCGATTGCGATTGCAGTCTGCTGTCGCTTTTAGTATTCATTTTTATCAGAATAAAATGTTAAATATCAAAATAAAATTTTCAATCTAAATAAGAAGCTACAAATTTAGAATTGTAATTTGAAATCTAGGAACGAAGGTGAAATTATAGATAGAGCTATATAGTGATATCTCAAGGAATACATTGGTAGCACCTGCACGATGTAAATTAATAGCTAGCGTATTTAGCGTTGTTCGTAGTAATTCTAATTCGTTTGACGGGGTGAGTGTACCGTTAAATTATATATAGTATATATAGATAACACAAACAAGACAAACCTTTCGCGGCATACGTGGCCTCTTTCGTACTCTACGCAGTAGTACACTTCAATTGGGAAATATGTCGGAAGCTATAAGACCCGGATGAAGATAAGGACGATTCCCGGAAGCCATTACGTTCAATCGACAGACGCTACTGCATTACTTTGTAGTAACGAATCTCTACTTCGACCACCGTTTACAATGCGTATTCTACGTTCACTTGAAATTAACAATGTTGTCACCGGGTTGGAATATTCAATTAAACGTGTTTTATCAACGTTGAAGTTTAATGGCGTCGTACCTTTCACAAACCATCTATATATGTTCTAAATGAACAGTTTTACATAACATATGTTATTGAATTATTCTGCTTTTAGTATTGTCCTTAATGCTTTTTACAAAGTGTATATACTGTTATAGACACTATTGTTTGTGGAGGTCTTCATTCAAGCATAGTTCGAACGAATTTGTTTGTGAAGAGAACTAGTGTTTTACTTACTCCAAGAATTATATAACAGGCCAAGATAGAGGCTCGCTATACATGGCAAAGAATCTAGGAAACATTAAACACCGGTGACGTCACGGATCGAAATAATAGTACATACCGTCGAAAAATATGTTCATGTTTGAGAAACGAGGAAATTATTGACCGAAGCTAGATTTTTTACAAAGTAATAAGGCACGGTAAAGCGCGGCTGAGTTTTCATTATGTATGGATAATCACACTCGTCAAGTGAATGTAAAACAATAATGCACTTAAGGAGATAGAGAAAAATTACCATGAATACATTAAATATATTATTAAATGAAAAGTGATTTACTAGTGGTAAGTGAATGTTACCAGTGACATTATATTTCCTTATGAGCAGCTAGATAAATACTAGTAGTATGTGAAATTAATAAGAAATAAGTCATGTACATTTTGTTTTTGAAGTTTTAGTGACTTTGTCTATTTACCTGACTCAACATCAATACAAAACATGGCAAACGTGATTGTAAAGCCCTGGAACAATACAATAATACATCTTAAAACAAAAAAGTCATCATAATTACATTAAAAAAAAATGAATTAATACTCCTTAAATAATACTACATGTACTGTATTAATCTCAACTTTCCTTATAGAATAATATAACATTCCTAAAACATAGTACAGCTGCGTATCTAAGAAAGTTTGGCAAGAAAATACTAGGTAACATGCTCTTGAATATATGCTCTCAATATCCCTAAAAGAATAATATAACATGAATTGTATAAAGGTTCCAAAATAATAGTACAGTAATATAAACGAGAAAATCGGGCAAGAAAAATACTAGCCTAATTTGGCGGAATATTTTTTTTTTATTTACACTGTATAATAAAAACAACATATAGCTTTACACTTATACACCGGCCAAGTGATTGAGAGCTAATCAGCGACTGTGTTGCAGCTGGTGACTTCTTGCATTAATGAGAGACAAGCTATAGTCATACTAGTAGTAGATACACGAATTACGGGCTAAGAGTTAAGTTAATCTCAAATGTTTGCATATCGGGTAGACCCAATTGAGTTCACGCACGGGAATAACAGTGGTTAGCCTAGCATGGGTTAAAAACTTGAGGTGACAGCCCCGTAGCAGACGGCTATTTCTGTGACGTCAAATATACCAATTAATGCGCGTGCTCCGGTGAACCTAAACTACAGTTTAATGATTGCAACCTAATCCCGACATTCTGTGAACAATCACCATGATGGTTTAACCAATGGGAAATAAGAAATATCATTGTCGACCTATATAATCCTGCTACCGGTATACCACTAATAGTATAATGAATGTGTGTGAATAGTTAACACTGTACCCCAGTCGTTGGGTGTTGGACGTACGAGAATAAACTGTCAACTTCCAATAAAACTCATTAGATTGCTAAATGTGATTATGGTTGCGATTTGAATATATCAGAATTAGCTTCATTTGTTGTGCGATATTTTGAGGAAAATAACTATTTATAGCAAGATGTTTCTGATAATTCCAAGTCGTGACGTCACCGCTTTGATATATTGCCTCTGGGTTTAACCGTAATTTGACATGTGCTTGTGAGCGAACCATAACGATATAAGCCGCACATAGGTGAACCTATTAACGAGAGATGTTTAGATCATTAAAAAATATATGTGCGTGCAGAACGTCACGTGCGACTCAAGAAAATCATCGAAGGAGAAGGACGCACCAGGCAATGCTCGTTTCCCCACTAATCTGACCTTGGTGGCGTGGTCGTGACGCATGTATTGGAGATACAGAATGTATTACACAGACATGATGGCGTTTTAGTTTACATTCACGACGAAAACAGTAGGTTCAACGTTCACAAGGGGGAACAAATGATATTACACTTTATGAAACATAATTTGAATGTTTTCAACTATTCTACCCACGTACAAGTTGTCACATTCATATAACTGTTATTTTATTACTTATGGCGTCGAATGCATTCTGGGCACTACTATGTTGGTTACATACGTGTGCACACATGCAGAGCGTGGCTTAACACAGATCGATGTTATTTGCAAATCTCGAAATTATTTTTTAAAATCACCGTTTCAATTATATTTAAAAATTGCGAATCATGTGCACACATGAACTGCAGCTATTACGTGCATTCAATAGTAGTCTGGAAGGGAGCCCCTATTCAGTATACTGCTCAGAGGTGTCAGTGCTGGCCCTGATACCCCATATTATTACTTACGTATACACTAACAGCTCAAAATCAACATAATTCTCAACAACAACACTGAAACATTCGAGCCAGATTTTTAAAATTTGCAGCGGAAACTATGGCCAGTAACACTATTGCTCGTCTCATATTACTACAAAAAACCGCCAACTACTAAGTACATCACTCGCTGATTGGCTATACGCACCGTCATTCACTTTGCCGATGTATAACTTGTGAAAATATATTGTCTACAGCTATAAGTGCCTGATTGTATTCAGTTACATCGAGTTCAAAAATAATAAACTATCAACACATGTTTGCATTGGGCTGGAAAGTATATTTTTGTATAATGGTTTCTTGGTGAGACGACTAGTATTCAATCTGTTCGTCGAAATAACAATACAAAATAATGGGCCAACCTATTCTACACTAACGAAATGTTGGTCTCTAAATCGAGCGAAAGAAGGAATCATTTAGGCTTGAAAACCACGATTTTTTGGCGATTGTATTCTGTATTATTTTGCTTGTATCAAAGTTACAACTTCGAACAGCCGGGAATGATGTAAAAATATTTTCTGTCGTTGAGGACGCAATTGTATTCTTGCATTTTAAAACTTTCATATCATAATCTAGAGCGGCTGGCACAATTGTTAAAGTTTTAATGTATGCATTTGTTATTCAGGCATAAAAGTAGTTCAACACTTGTGGCGGTAAATTAAAATTGAAGCGCAGATAATTGGAACTGAAACGATTGTTTTTGTCTGAGATGGCGGTATGCCTAATTGTACAGAAATATACTGGAGGTAAAGTTTGAGATCGGTGTTTTTAACAGAACCTAAATCAACATCAGACATTATGTGAACATATGCGTGTATTATAAAGTCTTCGTCACTCAGCGACAATTTTGATTGTTAACAACATTTTAATCACTAAATTACAACTTTAAAATGTGAACAAAAAGCATATTTGTACTCTGACATTTGAAGTTGCGTAAAAACATACGGTGACACGATCAAAAAAAAATAAATACATGTAATCAGAATGCATGTCTATTATATTGATACAATACTAGTCTTAGTCGTGATTAAAATATATATCATTCATGACAAATAACAAAAATATAATAATATAAAATAAAATAGTCCCATTGAATGGTGTCCACTGTATGCTCGAATTTAATAGTTTTACATTATAACACAAGTTTAATTCCCCCTTCACATTTTGGTTTAATAACAAAGTCAAGTACAGATAACTTCCAAAGATATTTATATTCCTTGTTCACCAGCATGGAAGTCTTGGAGATTAACTCCATTATTTTCACATACGTACGGTGGCCTATTGGAACTATCTCGAAACTCTAACGTCTTTCTGACACGTGACCGGCAGTATCTGAAGATTGGATATGCGCATGCGGCGAACGCAACAGCGAGCAGGAATCCGCCCAAGAAGACACCGATATAGCTACTGGTTTCATGACTCCGACATACTTCTTTTATCACGACGCGTGAGCCACCCGAAGTGTCGTCGTTGTCGGAGGTCACATTTACACCGTGCACGAATGTCCTTTGTTGAGTTCCGTTTTGAGCGATGCACACGTATACGCCATTCAGTTGTTGTTCTGCTCTCACAATAACAAGTGTTCTGCCGTGGTTTAGCAAAAGTACATTGTCTCTGTAAGTGCCGTCAACCATAAGACTTTTGTCGGGTAAAATCCATATTATTTCATCGATATGACCACCATCGAGTCCACACTCAATTTCGGCATTTTCGCCTTCCACAACTACAATCAAGTTGAATTTATCGGAAAAAACAGGAGGCGCAGGACAAACTAAACTTCTACTGTCCACGTGGTCTAAACTTTGTCCCGATAGTCGTGTTGGATTCTGACACGACAGATCAAAACTAGTCTTGGTAGATTCCGGAATCGTCTCTAACCATTCCTTGTAATCTGTCATGTGACAGTCACATGTCCACGGATTCACGGTGAGGTCAACACTTGCGTTACTTAAGAATGTCAATGGCGGTAAGTTACGCAGAAGATTACCTTGAATATTCAGTTCACGCAAGCTTGGTGTTCCAATAAAGAACGAACTTAGGATGTAATGTATTCTATTGTGTTGTAAATGCAATGTTACCAGATTGGACAAACCAAGGAATGATGTGGCTTCAATGTGCTCCAATTCGTTGTTGTCCAAATATAAACTTTGCAATTCTAGCATACCTGCAAATTGGTTATCCAGCAACACTGTAATAGCATTATTTGATAAATTAAACAACGTGGTGTTTGCTGGAAGATGTCTTGGTACTTCAGTGAGTTGTTGACTTCCGCAGTCGATGTTTCCATCAGAACACGTACACGAGTTTGGACATAGCTCTGCGGCAACTCCGTACATAAATACAACTAAGACAGATGATATTTTAATAACGTCTCTAATAATATGTACCATGGTCCTAGAAGTAAAGATATAAATCTTGAATTTGTGGTAAAAATAACTTCTGCTGGACCGATATTTCTAGCTACGAATTACGTAATTGTATTGAACCTTAGCAGATAATAATTAGCTTACTATTTTGTCGTTAATTATTGACATAATAGCCCACATTGCTCACGCTCCTGAGACAGATATTGAGAAATAACCAATGATTCTTTTGATGGCAATATACATATGTAATGGGCACATAAATGATTTGGCAGGTTCGCCGAGAATATTTGAATAACAAAGAACACGGGTCATGGACTGTGCTGAAGCCAATTGTTCAATGGGACCCTGAACTGAACGCCTATAACCCAAGTTATACAGTGTTTATTAAGCATATTCAACTCAGTATTTCTTCTGAGTTATCGCGAAGTGTACTATGGACCACCGGTCGATGTTGAATCTGATGATGAACCTTTCTAATGTGAACGTGCAAGACGTAAGAAGTCTACATAGAAACCTTAGGATAGCAGTCAGACTTTACTTACCCTGTGTGCGTTCCTGGGATGTGCGTTATTCAAATAAGTCTTTACTACAAATGTTACACATGCACGTGTCGAAATAAATCGCCAATAGATTTTTAACTTTCACAGGGTGATATTAACGTTAACACTGATGGTTGACTGGGTGGATCGGTGATGTTGAATAGAAGGCGAACCTCTATTCATTAGCATGTCAATGTATTGTGTATAACGAGGCTCTGCGTATGAAACAGACTATTGTTGAAATAAAGGTGGGGATGCATACCTGATAACCTGTCACGCACAATCAAATTTATGTCTGTTATTTCATTAGTTGTATGGTCTGAGCCTGATACAACTACCACAGTTACAGTTCGTATTTTTGAATTGTATATGGATTCGAGTCTCCATTTTATGTAATATATACTTTTATCCTTATTTTAAAATGTGTTCTTATGTAACAGAATTTGAACGCTATGTAGTATGAAAAATATCAGATATATGTGATGTGCAAGTCATTGGTTTGGGTGGGGCAAAACTTGTGTGGCATGAGACATGTTTATTTGAATAGAAAATCGTGGCCTAGATGATTCACTATGAGAAACCCCGTAACATATCGGAATATAGGACAAAAAGTCTCCGGACAAAACGCCACTTGAGTTTGAATTCATGCGTCGCGTGTTTTTAAAATATAAATCGGGAAAGATGACAGTCACACCTATTACAACATATCGTTTTAATTCAAACGTCGCATGTATATAATAAATACACAGGTTAAGACATCACAACACCATTTTAACCATAATTTTAGAATGCAACCAGGCAACAATTACTGGAGTGAATCGTACTAATAATCGGGTGTGAGGGCAGTATTTATTACTAAGTTGTTCGTGAGACTATAACAATGTACAGTCACTTAATGCCACTGTTACTTCAGAGTTTGGATGACCGATGCATGCAATGTATTCGTACCGAGAAAAAAATAGTTATTTACGTCAATAACTAACAGTCCCGCCGGAGTTGAACTGACTCAGATCTGTACGGAGACGTGTTATCCTGCGTTTCACTTGTCACATGTAGTGTATCGTATCTAATGGACAACCATCATTAGTAAGTAAATTAGGTCACGTGGTTTCGCTCAACAACATCGGTGACGTAATAAGTTAACTCTCCATAATCCATTGTACATCTGAACACTTTTAATGTCACGTGTTATGTCACACAACCTGGAAAAACCGATTTTTCGCCAACAGAGAAGAAAATACACAACATCTTGCACGAAAGCAGGAAGATATGGCTACCCAGAGTTAAAAATGTGGAAGGAACGAATTATTTCATTTGACGTGGGCGTACCAAGTAGACCACAAGCTTATATTTTTGTCATGTTGCGCCAGGCTTTCAAGACTCGGCATATTTTCATGTGAAGTCAGTAATCAAAGTCGAAAATACATACTAGTATATTGCATTACTTTTCTGGACAGATATGAGATAATATATATTCTAATTCTTGTTTCACTGCCCTTATAGGCATGTGTAATTTCATCTTGGAGCCAAATGATGCGGCATATGCAGTGTTCATGTCCCATGTGTCTATGAAATGTACATTGGTATCAGAGAATACTTCTTTCATGATACGTATCATATCAAACAATAGCCAATATTGACTGTATTTATTTTGTTCACCTCTATCGTGTGACCCCTTTATCAAAATAATTGTGTCTGGACAGCGATGACGAAGATGTTCCAAAGCTCGCTTGATGGAGTGCAATCTGTCTGTATAACTATCTAGCGTCCAGCCAGTGAAATGCGCCCACAAACTCACCAACACTACATAGTCACACGCCGGTCTCTGCATTCTGTGTATCACATCCGTCTCAAATGGAAAACGCAGAATTGGTATTTCATGATGGAAGGTCAGAGCATGGTGACGAAATGTCAGGTTGATGTCATGAGGGATATCGTATAGAGTCCAGACGTAGTTTAATTCTTCCGTTCCTCTGACGTCATAGATACCTTCTATGGGGTCGACGATGTCCCTCCAATTACCTTCAGTTACATTCACAGGATAGCCAATGTACTCGATCATGATTTGAAAAAGTTCGCGTGTAGTAGAATCCCCAATGAAGTATACGTCTTTGCCGTGAAGACAACGTTGTACATCGGATGGATTAGACCACTGACTGTTCTTACAGGTCAACGAATACCAGTGTCCATCTAACCAGTAACCATCACTTAGAGTCTCTGGCAAGTTTGGTCGACAATTCGGTACTGCGAATGTGTCATAGTCGGATTGGCCAGTATCTCGATCTGAGGAAGAACAAGGGAGAAACCATGGATTGATATTTAACTCTATATAGAAATAAATAGCAGCATACAGAGACAGAATTATTATCATAAATTTATTTTGTTTAATAGTTTATTAGTAAGTTGTAAATTAACATCGTCGGAACAGTTCCTGTCAAAAAATATAAAACATGTAACATTTCTATCATGACTGACAAATGTTAATGTTTACCTAATGTAAGCGTGACCATTTTAGTATGGTACTCGTCAGTATGCAATTACCGTGCGAGTGCGATGTATTAAATGTATTGGTACCACCTGTACGGTAACTGCTGTTATGTTAATGATACCGGTTTAGCTTAACACTGCCACCTATTGAATACATACGGCTATAAATAAATTAATGTGTAATTTCTACTCACCTATAATTTTAATTTTTGATATTGTACCGGGAATTTGAACCATAGCATTTGGTCTGTGAAGAAATGTGCATTTTATTACTGGAGTACCGCTTTTGATATTATTTCGCACATATTTCCTGTTTTGCTGTACGTATATGATAATATATGTATGAATCCAATTTTAAATGTTACATAAAAATAGACACATGTCTACTACCATGCCCATCATTGTATTAATAATTCGTGAAAGTGGCTAATAATATACATACAATATGAGAAGTTGTTTGTGGTCGTTGCCATCGTGGCGTAATTAATCACGATAGTTCTTATTTGTGTTTAGCATTTTTTTTTATAAATGTACTCACTGTTTAAAAAGAAACTCGTGTTTTTTCTTGTCTTTTAGATAATCTTGCCCTTTAATGTCCCTTTTACGTGTTAGAATGGACAGATTGCCACAGTGTGAATACTTGGGTGGGTCACATAGAAATGTGGTATCCCCAAGAGCTGATATGTGAGGGTATTCACATTTGTTTTCCCATAATCCTTCTCGTTGTATGTAGCACGTGGTGCGTTCAATGCGTTTCCCGTCGTCAAATATTCCAATCCAAAGCACGCGATGTTCTTGGGGTCTATGGAAAGTCTTCATCCATGTAATGGCCTCGCGTTGCAATGCAAGCAATATTTCAAGAGTCACGGTTCCACTCCAACCAGCGTAAAAGTACACACTATATGTACCGTTGTTGTGATCGATGACTTTTCCTGTTGTACCAAAATTAAAATCGGTGTTGTACATCTTTGCAATCCATATGTCGCCCCCATATCGTCGTTGACTGCCATTGTTGTCCTTGGCGACTATCATCAAGTGAATAAAATCCCCTCTATATATGGCGTTATTGCTTCCAATCAACTTATAGTAACTAGTGTTGGATGTCCTTCCCATTGATCCAATTTTGCTGGACATTATATTCCATGAAAATCCATCTTGCGCACTGTAGTCCGATGCGATAGCCATGGCGGAAAGTCTGGGTATGAGTGGTTTAAGGCGCGTACTAGATCGTAACTGATGTGTGTGAACATTAGACTAAAAACAAAAACAAAATATTTTCCCAATTTAAAAATCACACTAAAAGCTATTATATGTAAGAAACAGTCCTAAGCAAATTTACATTATCTCACACTGACGACTTGGGGAGACATTTGTATTCAAGTTACACATTTTATAATTTACATTTTAATACAAGTTTGTTCACAGTCTACAAGTCTAAGTTGAGATTTAAAAATCAGCAACACAACAAAATACCCTACTTCATACCATGATGTATAGTTACCAGGTTATCGGTGATTTATAATAGCAATAAACAAAATAAATCTAATATATATGACAAATTCATGGCGTAATCCATGGTAACTGACAGAGTCTAATCTAGTGTGCAGTCAAGGTAGCTTTACACGACAATGTGTGCAGGGTAGCATATAACGTATCGGCGACGTAGATTGTAATGACGCCATAACATGTGGCGTCATATTGTAGGTATGAACCAACCGATGCATGCAATTTAATACGTTGAACAGTGAGTGTTGAAAAAAGGCAACTAAATCGTACTCGAAACTCAGTGACACGATTTATACGGTGAATAATTAATTCATACTAATTAATTCATAGTATTTTCTATTATTATTGGTAAAACTATTGTTACTACTTTATATATGTTTAGTCACTTAAATAAATAATAAATAACTTACCAATATCACAAAGCTCACAAAAACTGTCCAGCAGGTTAGCAGTATGAAGACGTAGAGAAAGTATGTCTTTACCGACATATTAGTCTCAGCATATCATATCAAAATCGTTTAAATGCTGACAGCGTGCAAATACGTCTGTGGGAGTAATCACAATGAATGACTGTGTGCATTTGTCGACAGCTGCTTCGGTATTGAATAAATCCAACGACAGACACAAAT